GAAGTGGAGATGGATTGAATTGGGCATACACTGAGAAGATCATTCTGGGTCATCAGGCGCTAAGCTAGGCGCTCTAGTGGCATCCAGATGCGAAACGGCGAGTTGGGCGTGTGAGGTGAGGGTGACGTGGAGGAGTTGTTGTGAGGAAGAAATGAGATGTTGTGGGCAGTCGTGTAGCCAGATTCAGAGGTTTGCAGAGAAGATAGTGGAGTGGAGACGTGCTCCTGAAGCCCTATATTCTAGGAACCCAAAAGACATAAAATACATGACACAACTGGGACCCAGAAAATAGGTGATTTCCTCTAAGAGTTGATGTTCAGGAAATTCTCACATAGTTACCATAGTCTTAAAGTGTACTTCATAAATTCTATTACAGCTTGCAAGTAGATTTGAAAGAACAATAAAAAGCTTGTTTTGTTGCTCAAGTGCCATAATGGTATCAAATACTGTATGTAGGCACTAGTAATAACTTGCGAAAGTAGTTTATTTCGGTGGTAACCTTCCTACTGAAAGGTGGCCACAGGTCACACAGTTGTTTGTAATTACTGAAATGATTAATCTGGGAATTTCTGAAAGTTTCGAGGTAGGAATAACTATTTGCATAGTTATGAGTCTTCACCTAAAAGGCCTTAATGTTGAAGATATTTTAGGATGACAGCTCAATCTGTAACTATAGTGCAATAATTTTGTTTTTGGTTCGATGCAATGTGTTGGTCAAAAAGTTCGCATCATAATTTTTATGCTGTCTCTGCATACTAAAATCTGACTACAAATATATGGGTTCAGGCAGACACTTCTTGCGGGGTACTGTTAAGAGGAACAAACTATTTTTACAAAAAAGACAACAAAATGGTATGGAGAGTGCGAAAATCTAAGCGAATACTGTCAGTCTTCAATTTCACCTAACTATTCTTTTTATATAGACTTCTGTTGTGTATAAAGGTAGTTCATGAAATGGCATAAGATTAAAAATATTCAATACTTTCCATCTTCATACTAAAAAGCATATCTTTCCTACTATTGAAAAACAACTGTTTACAAGTAGAAATTCCCCAGATATAACAAGGCAAAATTAGAGACAGGGCATTAAAATTAGTTATTTAGATGGTTTAAGATTAGACAGTAGAGTTAATGAATTTAAGTCGAGCAAAGGGTCTATGAAATTTATCCAATAGAAAGCTTTACTGGTCACAGACTTAGGTAACAATTTGACTTCTTTTCTAGCTACTTACTATATGTAAAAATCATTAATGATGGCTGAATTACATACTGTTGAAGATTAGACAAATTCAAATAAATATTGTGGACTGAGAAAGAAATAAAATGTCACAATAAGTAATTAAAAGGCGAATGAAATTTTACTTAAATACAAATTATTCAACGTTAGAATATATTAGAAAATTTTACGTAGGTTGCTGATAGTTTCGCCTTCCTAAATGGAGAAAATCAAAAGTGGATTTTAATCATTTTGAACCTAAAGAACAAAACTGTTGAGAACTTTTAAAAGCCTCACAAAATCAAGTCTTTTAAATGATGATTTTTCCTAAGTTAAATTAGTAGGAAATGTCAAATCGTTCAACATACAGTGATTTTTTTAATAGCATATAGCTTATACTGATTTACTGGCTTAAAATAGGCTTTTGATTTGCCTTGCCACTAAACTTATGCTATATAATGGGTGTTGTGATGGGAATAACAATTTTACTAAGTATATTTCGCTGTGTTGTAATTGTTGGTCATTTCCGTCATAAGTGAACTAGGTATTCATAAATAATGGAAATCCCCTCCCACATTTGAAAAGTGAACAGCAATCTATGTGTAACTGGACTTCTATTCTAGATATTCTAATGAGGGCAACTTTTTAAAATGAATAAAATATTCAACAATCTCTTACAAATGAGACTGCAAAGCCTTCAAATCTGACTAGATAGTGGTGTTGCACTGATCCATAAATATACTTTTTTCATGAGTGGAAAAGATGAAATTTGCAGAATTCTAGTGAGGAGCTGTGGCCGGTTGATGCAACCAGTTCCCGATTCAAGACAAATGCCTATTGATAACATTGAATGACAATCATACTGTATCATGAATTGACAGATTTTTGAAAACGTAAGTCTATGAAATCCAACCCAGTGGCTGAATACTAATAAGCTGACTCAAAATTCTGATGTCCCTGTATTTGATACCACATAGACCCATCCATGCACACTTTTAGTCACAAACTAAGACTAGATGGCTATCAGTGCCCCTCCCAAAAGTTTCTCACAGTTCTTTAGCTGACCCGCCTGCAACAGAACCTCCGAGTTGAATAAATAATGCTTGTCTGTTTAAATTTAGGTTAAGGTGAATGAAACTGTAAGAAATGCTTTGCAACGGTTTCACTACATCCATCGGTTTTTATAATAAGTAGAACTTGCTTTTCGGCTTTCGCGCATTAAGAAACACTACTTGCTCTCATTTTCCTTTTTTCTTCCATATTCGCCTTATTTCTTGATACCATGGAAGCGAATCAGTTCAAATCATAAACTATATTGCTACGTAGGAAGATAACTATGTTCTTACTTGGCAGATCAAAATCAATAATGGAGTGGTAATTAACAAAAGTTAGTTATATATTCTTTCTTTTTCTTGGGGACTTGTTGAATTCTAGTTAGGAAATGAAATACAGTTCAGGTTTGCTGTTAGCTGCCGTAGAGTTTCCAAAAATTTTGAATAAAAGAAGGACTGTCACTAGGATTTCGTAGAAGTATGAAGATAACTGTTGGGCAGATAATGAATATGATTATACTTCAGATTGGTTGCTAATTGGAAACAGACGTAAAAAAGCTTTTAATATCTGCAATTACCTTTCTTGACGACAATGGCCAATATATTCATGAACATTTTGACGTACTGAATTCATTCATTACCTAAACCAAGGGTTGCTGGAAGAACATGGGTGACACATTAGGCGTAATCGAGAAGAAAGATATTGAAAAAAATTTCATGAGTGCATAAACAGTGATCAAGACCAAACAGAATCCACTATGAAAGTGGGGGATGAATTGGAAGCAATACTGGTATCTAACTGCTAAATCCAAAGGGCGATAGATGGCTATAAAATGACTACTATCTACAGATAACCAACTAACTTGGTTAGATCTCTTAATTAACGCTCAGTGCATCTATGCAATGTGAAGATAGGGTTTATATGAGATCTGAAAAATAGAATGCATAGTTTGATAATATGCCTGAAGAAAATTGATTAAAACTATATAATCAATAAACTATCTTCTGTTGTCTGTCTCGTTGAGAATGTTGGTCAAACGTGGAGATCGGTAGAAGTTAAACTAAGTGAACATCGATTGTTGACTAAAATTCACCCGACAGAGATACAGAAATATAAAAGCGTTTAAAGGTTCTTACCGATAGCACCTCGTGTGTGGAATCAAAAACAAGATGATGATTGGAACAATGCTTGTATGAATGAATGGAAAGAAAGATTGATCACGCCTTGCACATGCAATAAAAAAAAACTTGGTACAATTGTTAACAACATGAGTTACATTTCTAGATGGAAGAGGACAAATTTATTAGATGAAAATACTCAAGGTATTGCATTGGTTAAAAATTTATTGGTACTCGCTGAAGGTTAAAAGTAGGGATAACTTTGATCGTGACAAGATTTGAACTAACAGTCTTCAGTGTGCTAAAGATTGCAAATTGTCTCATTCATAAAAACTTATCATTGTGTATAAAATTCATCATTAGTGTGTTCATAACAAGGCAAATGCTTTATCAGTCTGGTGGTTTTACTAAATGCGTCTTTCTACTGTTGGGTTAATGCAGTGTTCATTTTTTAAATGTCAACAATGTTTTTTTATAGGTTTCGTGTTGATTAAAGTTCGCTAGCAAGATATATTTTTGGCATGCATGCAATGTAGATGGTAACAATCATGAATTCAGTGATCAGTTACTCGGATTAAATTGTTCTTCAATTCTTTAATTCCTAGGTACCTATTAATAGCTTTTGCTTACTAGTAAAAAACCTTTAAAATTCATCCTATTATCTCCTACTGTTTTTTATAGTTACAAAAGCCTAAGGAATTAGGCAAAAATGATCCAGTTATTGTTAGACAACATACTAATTTCATTCAATAACCTCTTATTCTGAACTTACGATATTATATTAATAATATGGTGTAGTGATAGTACGTAGTCAAATTTAGAGAAATTTACGACGTAGATGGTACTCATTTTGAGAAGTTACACCACATATTTGCTCCTCACAATGCTCACCTGAAAGATGGAAACGAAACTTACTGCTATGAAACAGTGAGAGTAATAAGGGATGAGTAATATGCTTTCAAATATCGAAACGTTTGCCTCATGAAGGAACCGTTTTTGAACAAAGAAGGTAAACTTAGACCATTGAAGGTTTCACACACAGCTAGTTATATCCATGTAAGCGTAAATGTTTCCATGCAACTTCCTCATTCGAATCAAATTATCGATAGTTAGTCTTAGTCGTGCATCCTAAGTACCTTTCCCTTTCTGATAGTGTTAGAAAAAGCAAACATATCTAGTGCTGTAGTATGCTAGCCGACTGACTTCTAATCATATCAACGAACGAGCTAACGGAACCACATGTCTACAGTATGAATGAATAGCTCATTTACACAGCAACTCGATTCCCAAGCTACTGCTCATGGGTTCGGGTCCTGGTCCGCCACATTATCGACCTCGGCTATCAAGGAGTATCGTAAGCACTCATAAAGTGAGTTCACCTAACAGGCTAGGGAATCGACATATACCATGTTGAATGGCATTATTTTTACTATTTTTACCGTGCATCCAAATAAGAGGATCTACACTTATTCCATATTGTAGGAAACGAAAACCTGAGAAAATAAGTCATTGATAGAAAAATTCCTATTCTGCAACATACTAGTTAATTCGCGTAGTCTAGTAGCTCAGTGTTGTATTTTTACGGTGGGTTAATAATAAATACTCAGACTCACTTTTGCTCCCAGTGATGAATAACACTCATCAAATAACATCCAAATTTTTGGTTTACAACGTTGCCATAATGTTAACTTTCCAGACTGATAAGCATCTTCCCAACCAAATTTTGCATATAATTCTTCTTCTGTCCTTCCTTCTGTATCTAAATCTAAATCATTTAATATTTGTAGAGTTTCTTGTGTTTCACGGTGAGATGTATACGTCATCCAACAGCACGGTTCAACCTAATCAAAAAAATTATAAAAACTGTCAGGTGGTCCTAAAAGTACTAGATGATATGAAAATTCCAAGCAGTTAAGAAATAAAGTAGGTTATACAGTTTATTTTGATGGATTGGTTCTGGATTTATTGAGCGCAGGCATTAGACTAGACCTAGGAAGTCCTCAAATGCTATGAAAATCGTTGGAAATAAAAATGAAAATAGATAATTACTGTTTCAGTATTACAACTTGCAGTTAACCTTTTTAAACCGATTTCTGCCGAATCTATCGACGGCCAAGATGAGATTAGGAGAATGATCAACAAATACAGCACTAAAGTGTCCTGTGGAACATTAATTACACTACACAGCGCTTTCGATAGTATCCGAGATTCCCAATTTAATTGTTTATAAAATGGAATCCTCAGACCTTGATGCAGTGCGCATATGGCAGACTACGTGTGTAAGAAAGTTCGAAAAAATAAACAGTGGAAGGTCTTCTATCTGACTTCCAAGAAACCTAAAAGAACTGAAGGTCAAAACACTTCAATCATAACTTTACACGCTATAGTTTCAGGTCACAACATCGGCTTCGACAACTCAAAATTATTTAGAAAAGCCTTAGAAATTTTAAGGAAGATTTAATGGTAGAATCTTTACACAAAGTGGAATGGAAGTTAACTTATTAGTAATGGGCGAATAAAACCTATCTTCAACTAACCCATACATACTGATATAGCCAACACTTGCAATGAGAACTATTAGCAGATATAAGCACAAGCCTCATTCTGTAATACGCACACTCATTACACTTAGTGCACAACATCGACCATCATGTTTAACAAGAAACAAGCAGTTCAGAATCATCCGTCCAAAAAAATATATCAAGTTATCGCATAAAGGCTTAGATGTTGCAAATTTCGTTTAACCATAATTTCAACAAATGTATAAACATTCAGGAGCGAAATCTTAGTAGTAAACTGTCTTGAAACTCTTGGTTCCCAGCATAAATTCTTCAAACTACTACGTTCACGGAAGGAATTTTTTTCCCTATGCATCCATTTGAAAGTACAAACACCAAAATAATCAATATCACTTACTCGATGTCCGAATTTCTTCAAACCATCAAATCCTAACTTGATTGGTCAACCTTATTTGATATATGAGTTGTCGTCCAGATTTCTAGAAGCAACTGGCTTCTTCGGTTTGATACTAAGCCTAGAAAGTGGTTGGCAGTGGAATCTAGGACGTTCACCGCATGCAAATGATGAGTTCGAGGCAAGACGAAACACATGGTGGATGCCGCTACTACCCACTGTTCATTCTTAGCTACTAATTTGGCAAACCAATCATGCCATCTTATGTTCGGTTAAATTTAGTTGAATCTTATAATTTTCAGGCTGCTGAGGGAAGAATAAGACTTAATGCCGCATCTCATTACATGTTTTGTCACTATTACCCTAGAAATGAGTTTGGTTCTTTGCCAATAAAGTGCTTGGGTTTATTGTAATACCTTGTTGTTCTGAAGAAAAGAGACTTAAAACGCTTTTGAAGCATATGAAGAAGTTAAGACCCAGAATTATACCATTCAAGTCCGTAGTGAAAACTTTGTCAAGCAATCAGTTTGGCTTTAACCAATTTGACAATTACTGGCGACGAAGAAACTAAACTCAAAACCTCTAAATAGTGAGTCATCCTCTTAATCCGGTCTTCTAATAATTATCGGAAATCAGAGAATGAAAATCAACGTGCTTGTACCAAAAATAGGCATAAATTGATTAACTATTGCATTTTTGAGATAACTACAGTGGAAAGTTATCCTGGGTTTGCCAAAAAACTGAATAGAAATATCGTCTACGCATTGACTTACTTCTGAATCTTATACTTTTCCCCACTTATATCAAAATTAGTTTTATCTTGGCAGGCATATGAACAAATGTGAATCCCAGAAAGTGTAAAAATTTCAACTTTATTGTTCATGGTTTCCTTAAGAAATGGTTAATGATCAGGAGTTGTGTGGTAGTTTCTCTAAACCTTGGAGGTCTGTCTTGATAAGCAGCAGAGATGTTAAGAATTAGCTGCTTTAAAAAAAACTACTAGGTAATGAACTGGAACTACTAATACTACTACTAGTATTGTAAGAGCTACTTATAAGAATGCATATAAGCAGCATATACAGCAACCGTCGAGCGGTGAGGAACTAAGCCAGTTGATTACACAGTATCGTACAGAAAAATGAAGGGCAAGAGCCATGTGTAATGAGATACAGAATAAGATTTTGTTTTTAGGTGGATAATATGTAGTGTTTTTTTAACTAATAACAGTTGTATTTTCGTGATAGACAATGTTAGCTACTTTTTTGAATTTCTCTTCACAACAACAGGGACTGTTAATCCTTCCCAACTAATCCTCTCGGGTTTTTGTTGGAAACTTTATGAGAACTCATGAGAAACAGAGAAATATCGGTGTCTTTAAATAGTACATAATGAAATCAGAAATCCTAGGTAGGCTTCTTAGTAATATTAGAGTTAATTGTGGCATTAAAAACACACAAACTTAGAGTGAAAACCTTGGTAGATCCGATTCAGAAAAATATGCTATGGCGTCAAGGAGAATACATGTGAAGTGAAACTGTTTATTGTCGGTAATGCTAACGGTAATTCCTTCTAAAAAGGTTATTCAGTTGATCAACTATCAGATGGATAAATATCCCATTGTATATAACTGACCGCTCATAATCTCTACATTTATACAAAGACGCACGTATGCAAATATATAAAAAAATGTTATCGGTGGAGGAAGAAACATATAAGTCGGCGTTGATTTCAGTTAATTTCAATACCTTTTGTTTTTTAATGATTACCTTCAATATTTGTAAAAGGTAGCTTAGTAACCAGATTAAACTTGTGATGAAAACATTTTGATCGATTATTATGGGCTAACTAATCTTTACAATTAGTGTTCTGTTAGCTAAAGGTAGGTTACTTTGCCATAATGCTAATAAGTGTAACTTGTCAGTTTCTGAGCTATGTTAGCTAATGTGTTATCTCCATGATGTTGCGTGTTGTTGAAAAGTGTTTTTAAAATTGACCTTTTTGCATATCACTTTAACGGATTCTTGTCTGTTAACGAACCAATTTTCCATGAATTTTTTTTACTGGGTATCTCTCACTTTTCTTAATTTATCTATCATAGGTTTCTGGAAAGAAGTTCATACTGGCAGTTCTCAACATACACTTACGTCTTCTAGTCCAATAGATATTCTTCAAACTGTCGATCTGAGCTCTTGCATGCAAAAATAAGAGGTCAGTTGACTAACAATATATGGCACTGCTCAGTCGTGACCTCATTATTGTAGGTATTCTCTTATGTCTATGAGGTGAGACATTCCTGTCACACTCAATTAGTGCATATAACTTGTGTCACTCTTTCTTGACTAGTACTCATCAAGTTATTTACCTTGATTCACTAATTCTGCCTTCACACACACAACCACAAGTACCCAGGCTCTAGAACTTCCATGTATATTCATTCAGCCTTCAGTTATTTCGATGTTATTCACATAAAATTCATAGTATGACTTAATGGGTTTCATTTAAAACCTCGATCATAATCAATCGTCAATATAAAACTTCTCACTTATTATAATTTACACTGAATGAAATTCACTCTAATATGCGATCTAGGCCATTTAAAGTGGTTAAGAACAATTATAGTTCAGTTAGATTATCCTTGTTACGTTGCTTTCTTTGAGCTGGATGATTTAATTTTGAAGCTTTCGTTGTCTTTCTGGAAAACATCATCAGTACTTACTTCAGTTTCTTAGTGCTGATGATGGTGTATACAAAAACAATGAAATATTCACTTTTAAATCACCTAGCTCAGAGACTGCAACACAACCTAGGCTATTTATTGTCTTACCAAAAATGTCTACCGTCTAATTATTTTGAACTGAATTCCGTGAACATTTAAAGGTGGACATAATAATTCTCTTGCACAATAACTGTCAAAAATCCTTTGAATAACTGATTCTAACTACTCACTGTCATAATATCGTTTGTTTTATTTTCATATATTTCATTCTTTTATTTTGACAATGCGGATATATAACTACAGAAACTATGGGGAAAGCCACTAAGAAAAATGTTCCTTGTTCATTAAACTGTTTTTTGAACAGTAAGGGGAATTTTCAGATGTCAGTAAGGAAATTCTTCGGAGATTTCCTTTAGTTATTGCACCTTCTCACTCCTGCAAAACGTTAGGCAGGATGACTTTTGGATCATGGTGAACTTTTCTGTATATTATAAATTATTTTACCTGTCCGCAAAAGGTAATGAGTGCGACAACTAATCAATAATGAGCTTCCCTAAGGGGCCTTTCTTTTGTACTAATTCGCTGACATAGTGATTAGGCCTTTTGGATTTTTTTATATATTTTGCTAAATACAGTATGACTGTATACGGTGTAGGATAGGGCCCTACCTTCATCTTTTCTCTGAGTCAGCCGGTGTGAAGTAAGTGGTGGTGGGATCAGCTCACATCTAAGAACTCGGCAAAATAATAATAGTTAAGATCAGCGTTAGACGTCTCTTTCAGTCCATCAGCCACGTGACTAAATAGGAAACCCAAACGGAGGTTAAAAGCATTAACAACTGCCAACCTGCCAGATGAGGGAAATAAACACAATACAACCAAGACCATCCACCTGAGCTACAAATATTCTTCACTGTTTCATTACTGTCGACAGTTACCACCCTAAGAATCTTTTTTATGGGAAAACTGTCGACGCATGAAATCATTCAGTAATATACATGTTTACAACTGTTAGTTTTGAAAGCCAACCCTGAATATATACAAATATGATTAATTTTGAGTACCACGAGAAAATGTTATTCTGTTTCATATTTAACTTTCAATAACTTGTTTGAATCATGATATATTTTGATGACAACTGAGAGAATCTTCACCAGCTGCTATTTCCTAATTTTCTTATGAATGGTGAGGCATTATTCCAGTTTCGTAGTTT